TAAACATACCTGCCTGTAGCAAAGAAGAGCGGCGAGTCAAGGCTACATGTCTGACGTGGAGGGGTATACCCTCGTGGTTCAACCAGCTGATGCCCCTCCAAGTACTAGCACTAGTAGAGATCGAGAGGCTATGGAGACTGTGATATTGGGTGGTAAGATGATGAATTAAGTAACCAGAAGAGTATCCAGGGATCCCAGATAACTATAAAGCTGCAGTATATGATGAGCTATATCTGAAGTTTGTAGTTGTATTAAAGCACATAGAGTAGTAGTAGCCGTACGGAAGTTCTTTAATTAAATGCGGGGAACGCCTCCCCCATTTGGTTGAATGGTGACTGACTAAGCGCAGTTCCACGTGATGCCCGAATTTCTCTCCGTCGCAAATCTTTTTGATATCGAAGCATGAAGCTCAAAGCAACGGGGAGCAATCTACACGCAACACGGCAGCAATGGCTCTCCGCGAACCGTCAATACACTTTTGCAGGGTGCTTCCCAGAGCCCTTGTCCCCGTATCAAGCCCCCACACTCCCTCATGCCGCCGCAATGCCTCATCCGCTGCGCTTCCCGAAACAATAACTGATGATCTCGAGACAACTTCAACTTTCTCCCAACCTTCTTCCCTGCCAGAAGACGAAATCAAAGCCTTTGATCCTGTAGCAAGAAGCAAGGCACGAAAAAAGCCATTACCTCCTAGTCGGTGAGTTTCCAATTTGCCAATGCCGACAATCGGACCCTCCCTTCACAATCTTCCCCGAATTTCGCTAGACTCGCCCTTTTTTTTATATATATTTTTTTATTTTTATTCTATATCAAATTTCACCCCTTTTCTCACGCCTGTCAATCTAGTTATCAATTCCGCCCTCCAAAATATGACCGCGGCCCTCTTCATCCCCATCGACCACCCCCAGCCTGACCCCGCGTCCCGCCAGTTCATCCCAGGCCCTTTCACCCTCCCCCGAGTTGAGCAAACTTATGAATCAACCATATCCCACGATATCCTCACACTCTGTTACGTACACAATCCTCCAGGATTTCGAGCCCCTCCCACCCCACAGCGCCTTAGAGGCTGGGACGACTCTTCCCCGTATCACGCCAACCGACCACTCCGTGGCCCGCGAGGAGGAGACGTGCTCCGCCTTCTCCGCAAGCCCATAACGTTCCGCAACATCCCCAAACTCGACAAGATCACGATTCACAGCTATGTGAATCAAGTTATAGATAAGGGCTCGGCGCCGTTACACGTGGCAGGTATGGCTATACAGGCCATTTCGAACGTGCGAGTCCAAACGCATAAGATGAAGGGTAACGTTGCCAAGTGGGGGGTTGTACCTGGTAAAGCGTATGTTGCTGTCACGGCTGAACTGAAGGGCGAGGATATGTATCATTTCTTCGGAAAGTTGGTGGATGTGGTGATGCCGAGAATCAAAGATTGGAAAGGTGTCAAGGGGAGTAGTGGTGATAGTAGCGGGAATATTGCCTTTGGCCTTGAACCGGACATGGTGGCTTTGTTCCCGGAAATTGAGGTGAATTATGATATGTATGTCTCGAAATCGAAACCCCCACTGCTCTATGATTTTGTTTTTATTTTTTATTATTTTCTTTTGCCTCTTGGACTACAAGTACGAGATAATATCTAACCCGTTTTCCTACCCCTTTTATTTTAACATAGGTACCCACCAGCCATGATACCTGGTTGCCATATAACGGTTCACACAACTGCGAAAACAGACAAGGACGCCCGACTTCTTCTCAACGCGATGGGCATTCCATTTTATGGCAAATACGTAGATTGATACCAACTTGAGTGAAGAAAAGCACTCGGAGTCAATTATGCTAGTGTTTGTTTTTACTTTTAGGGGATACTCAATCGACATTACAGCTATTTCTATATTTATTTTTTATTTAGACCATTTTTTTTTATCTACTGTGATGCACAGCACCTGTACTTTTATATAAATATGGGCAGTAAAGCCTGCCCCTGTGGCTCTATTGATTGATCTATTTTTTTTACAATGATTATTTTTATTTCCCTCACATCTTTTACCTCCAGAGACCTTGCGCTCATTTATTTTCCATATTTTTAATGGGAGCAGTTTATGTACATATACGAACTTTTCTACTTAATTGAATCAACCTCGTTAAGCAGTCTCTAATAAGTAAACCTACCAATTAATTATATATAATTGGGGATTCCGGAGACGGCAGAGACACGATTTCATATTTAATTAATCGATATATGTAAATAGTAATAAGCTTCAAGTCAAAAGCTCACAAGAAAGTCGCAGGCATCAGTTTTTATCGTCGCTATCATTGCTATCACCAACGGCACGAACTAATTCTCCATTGACGAAACGGAAGTCTCCCTTCCCGCTCTTTATCGACTCCCTTTTAAGACGATGCATAGAAAACGGAAAAAATTGAAGAAAAAAATTGAAGAAAAAAAAAAAAAAAAATAGCAAAATCAGAGCAAAAGAACAAGACGAAGGGCAGGGCATCTGCTTGTTTCTCAAATCCATAGTTTTCGTGGCTGAACTTTGGACGCGGCAACAGCTTCAAAGGAATCAAGGGGAGATCTACTTTTTTGCAGGAAGTAGTAATATTCGTTAAAAGGCCACGGCATCTTCGAAAGAAAATGAGCAAGGCTAGAAGGAGAATGGGCTAGGATGTTGAGGTTCCGACTGCATCATGGAACTCTGCGATGATCCTCTAGTCACCAAGACCTCCCATATTCTGAGGAATGGTTTGCACATGCTGTCTCGAAACAGTTCAAGAAACAAGCGGCACAGTACCTTTCTTAGAGTGTGTGGCGGCGCGCCCTTGGTGAGGTGGCTAGTGGTTGATATCCGAGCCCAAGTTTGATACAGGTACTCTGTACTACTAAGTATATTAGTATTTGCGCAAGGAAGAGGGACAAGCCAGTATAGAGATAAAAGGCCTAAGCAAACTGATCGACCTCATGGATGTATCACTGCGGAGAATCTGACTGTTGAGGCTAGGTTGGTGGTCAGTCACCAGGCGTTTGATCCTTTCATGTCCAAGTTTTCAAATATACAGTAGTATGTCTCCGCGCATGCCCTGGTCGCGGGAGTGGATGGCGAGGAATGCCCCACGTGATGCAGAGGCGCCTCAAGCAAGTGTTTTGATGTGACGAGATTCTCGCCATTGATGAAGCATAGCATATCATCATTAACGAATGTAAATCCGCGATAAATAACAGCAGCAGCAGCAATTGTCTAAAAGCCGTTGAGATTCTTGCTTTTGGGACAATTCAATTAGGGTTAGGGTTTGTCCAGCCTGGATCGGGCTTTGCACGTGCTTTTTTCTTCCCTACTGCGTAAACCTTAAACTAGGGGCTTGAAATCAAACATCATCAACCAATTTGAATTTATAGACCATATTTTACTTCAACGCTGGTAATATTAAGAAGATGACTTCCGGCTCTATGCGTTGACTTTTAAGGGAAATCAGCCCATAATGGCTGACATCGCCTCTCGACCGACCAAGAAACGTTGCCTCAAGGATGAGGATGATTCCACCACCGACATAGGATCCCGCTCAAAAAGATCCAAACTCATGGCAGGGTCTACAAATTACAGTACCACGAGCGATAGCTCGAGCTATGAGTCCGGCTACGACAGTGATAATGGTAGTGATAATGGTAGTGACCATGATGGCGATGCTGTCATGTCTCAACCACTCACCGATCGTTATCATCCACACATACAAGAGCATTTGGATGACGAAACTTCCTCAAGCGGAGAATCTGGATCGTCCATGTCCTCTTCCTCCTCCTCTTCATCATCATCGTCGTCTGGCGGCGAGTCGGAATCAGAAAGAAATGGCACTGTCAATATTCCTGGAACCAGCGACCTCGTTGCCGTCCCACATCGCCCCTCCCATGTCAAGCCTTCAATACATCGGTTTAATGGTTCTACGCTGCGAAATCGACTGTCTGCCTTCCTTCCCGAGTTGAGAGCTGCAAACGAAGACTTAAAAAAGGAAATAGCTGCCGGCAATGTAGCTGGTGTGGAGCTTGATCAGAGCGACGATGATGAAGCCGACGGCCAATACATTGAGATGGTACCTTTTCTTTCTTTTATATTCCGTCGTACTTCTTTCATCCACAAGGACATTTCATCGTCGAATATGGGATTTTTTCTATGAGTACAGCTAACTATCTTGCTTCCTTACAGAGCCTTGGCCTCGGTGTCCTCGAAGAACAAGGCGACGAGAGCGGCTCCCCTTCCAGCACAGACAACGAAAGCGCTATATCATATGATGAAGACAAGAGCACACGACCGGCGACCAAGACGCAACCTAAACTACGCCATAATATGAATGTAATGAACAAGCTCATGGGGAACAAACCCGAACTAAAACGACCAACTATAGAAGAGATTACGCCTTAATATATCCTCGTATTTTACCTCCACAAACAAGGCTCCTCTATCATACGTACTACGCTACAATTCTGCCATTTACTATTTTTGACAATTTTTCTCTCATTTTTTTTCCTTTTCGGTTATCGATTGCAATCTGGATAACGTTGTGTTTAAAAATATTTCCAGCTTATTGAAACGTTGATAAACTCGGATTTATGTTTATATACCCCTGTTTTCTGTTATGTATTAATAGTACAGTACTCCGTACAAGTGTAACAATTTAAGGCATTTAACTTCCTCTCACTTCACACGAAAAAGACTCAAAATCGCAAGACACTCCAACAAAATAATGACCATAAGAAGGATTCAAAGTACAGCACATTTTTCCCCGGGGCCGATGGTTGGATGTTGTATACGACTGATTAAACCAAGTAGTTTCGCCCCGAAATTTCTAAAAAAAACAATTCCGGCAAGGAGGGAGCTAATGTAGAAGTGTTTAATACTAAGACAATAGGAGTAGCCAGTATTTGAACTTATTTCTGCAGAGTACTCCATACTTAGAAGTTACTTGTAAAAGAGATGGGTTTTAAAAAAAATCAAAAAATTCAGAACTAAAATCTCCCCGACAGGGAATCGAACCCTGGTCTCCCGCGCTCGTCAGTCCGTTTGACCAAATGACAAGCGGAAATCATCACCACTAGACCATCGAGGAAGAACTTTGTTGCGGGAAAGTAGCCATTGCATAAATTATAAATACCCAGTCCCAGTTGGCTTCTATCCCACGCGAATTATTCATACACCGCGAGACTTTTTTTACAGAATATCCTTACATATTCATATCCTGAGGGAAAGGTCGAGGGCCCCTTGACATCCGCTTGAAAGGGTTGTAAGAAAAAATGTTTTTTTGGTCATCAGAAGAGAGGACCCGTTGGAGTGCGACGGTTCAGTGATGAGACAGATATGTTATGCAGCGGCCCCAAGCCTTCTGTATTTGCCCTTTTCATGCTTCATCTTTCTCTTCTACAAAACTCTGTCCGTCTCGGAACTGTCTAAAATTCTGGATATCCTGGTCCTTTCACGGCCCGTCTAGTGAAGGCCCTTGGTGATTGGAGAGAAGATGTTTTGTGCAGTTGGAAGAAAGGGGTTTATTTACTGATGATATTCCACTAAATCCGATCGGGCGGATGCTAATCCCTGGGCAGGTACATAACTGCGTACACGGCAACCTACAACGCTTCATTTTTATGGCCAGAACATATCCACTCACTCATTGTTTTGACGTATGTTACAATGTATGCAATATCTTGAGTCTATGGAGTGTTGTCCATTTTCAATCTTCTCCCAGGGCTTTCACACTCCTCCGTAGCTCTCAAACCGGCTACAGAAGCCTGCAGCATGGTAGTAGTTACCGACTACAATGACGCCTTGAGATCCTTAAAGGCATCAGCCCTCCCTCCCAGATATCTCTCTTCTGCCGTCTTCCAATTAATGATGGACCAAATATTCTCGACATAAGCAGCCTTTCCATTCAGATACTGAATTCAAACCCAGAAATAGGAGTATGACCGTGTTAGCCCAGAAACGGCTGGAACAAACAAAAACCAGTAAGAATGGATGATAATCTGGCGGTATAGGCCTCACCTGCAAATAATATGCATGTTCCCACATGTCAACTGCAAAGATAGGCACCTGGTCTTTCCCAACGATATCCTGATCTTGTGTTGTGACAATAGCCAACGGGCCCTGATCTCCCTGGCGAACTAACCAACCCCATCCACTTCCCCGGATGCCCAGTAACGCCTCATTGAATTTCCGACGGAATTCACCAGTATCTGATCCCCAATGGCGCTGAATCGCCTCCCATAATTTCGGCGCGGCTTCGATCTTGGTTTCGGGTGTTCCAGGGGGGGCGAGGTTTTCCCAAAGTAGGGAGTGATTGATATGCCCCCCTGCATTGAAGCTAATTATCTTGTGCATCTCAACCTGGGCGGCGATATTTCCTACCTTTATCGCTGCACTTTGGTCTTGAAGAGCCTTGTTGAGATTCGTCACGTAGGTGTTATGGTGCTTGGCATGGTGAAGCTCCATGATTTTTGCGGAGATGACAGGCTCGAGGGCCTATATAGTTCCGACTCAGCTCTAATGCAATGCAAATGAGGCAGGGAAGGGAAGGGGCAGAATGGGCAAAAATGCTTACATTGTAGGCGAAACGAAGGGACGGGAGAACGTATGTCTGGGCCATTGGTTGTTTTCACGTGGGATGAGTAAATATTGACCTAGATTGAAAGGTGTAGGGCTATAGGGTTACAGATCTGGGGCCGAGATATCCTGATAATTGGTGATTAAGGAGAGGAAGGGACTGGGTCGTGGTCGTGGTCGTGGTCGTGGTGGGAAGAGAGCGATCCTCGGGAAGACTTGCCCATTCAGACTTATTTAAATATGGAAAATAATCTGCTCACCAGGTTATGTGTGCATGATCTCGGATAAAGTTTCGGTTTGAGCAGATTACCATCTTCCTCTTCATACACGGAAGAGAAAGTTACCTGCCTATCGGGACCTGGTGGATGTCTGGGGGACCTTTGTAGCCCTCAATCACGCGAAGGGGAGTGAGTAGAGGAAGGAGGGTGAGGGCGGGGGCGGGGGCGGCCGCCGCATAGGACACAAGTACGGAGTATAGGAATATAAATTTACCTCCCTTTCTGTAAACTCCATTCGTCAACTAAAATATATATTTCCTACCTTTCATTCAGTCCTCAAAAGACGCTGCAATCAAAATAGTTCTCATATATAAGACCATGTGCCATGGCTTTTCGTCGAGAATTAGCCAGGGCGGTGCCACAGTCTCTCTTCGCCCACTGAACACAGAAGAAAGTGAGCCTAGACACAACAAAGCCCCATTCGACTACCAGGTCACTCTTCAAGAACATCGCTCCGTTGACAAAACGGGGATTCACTTGTTCATCAAAAGGCCCACAGACGAACCAGCAGCGCAAGGGCACGTCCGACCCTGCCCCGTCGAGACCTTGAGAACCTACTGGATTGAAATACAGTAAGGTTTCTGTCTTTCTTTCTTTTTTCTTTCAAGTTTTTAACATTAATCGCACCATTATTATCCATTACCTACCTCCCTTGGAAGGTTCAGGGGATACATGTAACATGGTGCATCTCCTAATGTTAACATCTCTCTTCTCAGCCGGGATGGCGACCTCACACCCTCGAAATCCAGAGACACACTCCCGCCCCTCCACCGTTTCCCGCTCCAAAATCTAACGCAACTTGAAGAGCTCCAAACTTCACCCAGTGCGCTAGCCAGCATGGAACTCACTACTACTAGCCCTGAGCAGAATATGGGCGGACAAGATAATCACTGCAACTCAGCGCAGAACCTGCGGCTCGATGCATGTGCAATGGGCGTGATAGGGCGGCGGATGTCAATTGTTAATGAGACGGGGATGAGAGTTGCGGAGGGGGTTATCGGGTGGAACTGATTGGGGTTTGATTCGGCTGCTCAGCTAAAGCGTTTTCGAACCTCCTGCTCTTCTATTATTTTTATTACCCATCATTCTTCTTTTGCTTTCTTCACTTCTTTTTTGGAAGGCAGAAGAGTAAATTTTTTCCTTGCTTAACCAGAACTTTATGTAATCTTTTTAATTTGCGGAATCCCCCCCCCCTTTTTTTTTTTTGGATTCATGATGCAACGTGGTCTTCTAAATAAATATCCCTGTTTTCCTCTCGTTTCGTCTGGCCTTATCCAGGAGGGTGCCATCGAGGCTTTAGAACAGTCTTCTTATATATTGGGGCCATGGCTATTGTGGTCGGGCGGTTGCATGGTCACTGACAGACAGAACGCCGTTCAAGCGCGTGAAGAAAGACGTTGCCAGGACAAACCCGTTTGCTAGTCGAAACTCTTTTGATTGAATCACACCTTCCACACAGGAACAACATACTTGGGGATTCATATGATACGGACAAGGTTAAAACTTATATTTTTATATATATATATTTCAGGGGGTAGACGACCCCCCTATGTTGGGCAGCAGCCAACCGGCTAGACACAGAGTTCTTATTTCGATCATTCAGCGCACCAGAACCTTTTTACCAACTTCTGTCGAGGTGTTTTTCTTTCCAAGTCGGAGGTAAATTTGGCTTCACGCTAAAGGGGCTTACGCGAGAAAAGAAACTTCCTTATTCCAAGGCATCCAGAAAACGATCATCCTTATATCACCCTACGTTTATTGGAAAGGCGAGAAACATGACTTCTGGGAGCCCCTAAGTTCTCATACGGGAAACAATTGAGTATTGGAAGGTAAATAAATACTGGAGAAAGTCTCACGTTTTCGAACTTTAGCCAATCGTTCGAATTGAAAAAGAGTATCACGAACGAATTCATCCCCTTTTTCATTCAAAATTTTCAAGTTTCATTCAGTCCACGGGAGAACTCGATTTGGAGATATCGTCTTTCCCAGCTTCCATGCAATAATGTATGCGGCTTCTAGCTCATTGTGGTTATCAAGTATTCCAATGGGTTTTCGGACGAGGGAGCAAAAAAAAAAAGAAAAAAAAAGAAGTGAAGAAAGCAAAAGAAAGAAATGATGGGGTAATAAAAAATAATAGAAGAGCAGGAGGTTCGAAAAACGCTTTAGCTGAGCAGCCGAATCAAACCCAAT